GCCACCTACCACCTTGAAAACTTTTTGTCTTTTGTCTCTTTAACTGTGACCAAAATAAAGATTCAGCAGCGTAGATCTATACTGTTTAGAAAAGAAGATCATTACTAATAACAGGCTGTATTTATGTACCAACAGTGGAGCGTGGACCCCAGTTTGAGAACCACCAATAAATGCCATTATAGTGAAATATTACAATTATTCTAACATACTAGGTTTTAACACAAAAGTTTGTATTTTGACAGGTATTAAATACAGGTACTACTTTATCTGTATTTGTACTTAAAGTAATTGAAAGACAAGTAAAAAAGACGAAGAGAAAGTGAGAGTGAAGACAGTGTTGGGCTGCACCAGATTCATTTGTTAATCGATATGCTCTTTTGTTGCTTTGCTGTTTTTATCTGAGGAGTAAAAGTGCCAGAACATGATGATCTACATCAGCTGATTTGTATGGAGCAGCTATAAAGCTCCGAGGACGGAGGCGAGCAGAAGATAATAGGAGTTTAATGCTGAAGAAATATGTGGACACTGAGGGTGGGAGGTAAACAGACTCTGAAGGAGGTGGGGCAAATAAGAGGGGAAGGAAGAGACAAAGGTGAAGGAGTAAGGTAGAAATAATAAAAAGGTAAATCAGGAAAGAAAAAAAAAAGATCAGCACGTAGTGATGAAGCTGTGGAAGAAATGACCTTCCACAGAGTTCACACAAACGCCCCCCCATGTGGTCATTTATTTTACGGGCGTCAGACGGAGACATGCGCAAAGCTTTTAAAGAATTACCTGTCACGCCAGCTTTACGTAGAGCGTGTTTGGCCGCTGCAGTGACCTCATCTGGCCACATTAGTGGCCTAGCTCCGACTTCTTTTAAGTGCGTGGCACAGAGAGCATCAGAATTATGTCAAGAGACATAAAAGTGTCTTTGGTATTACATCAAAAGGGCAAGTAGGGGGATGACGACATGCCGATGATAAAAGCCGGTCCACGGGGGAGGCATATCTTGGAGCACAGCTCATTTTTAGGAGTCTGTGTACACCACCAGTCATGAAGCCAAGTTTTTCTCTCCGTTTTTCTCTCCGTGGGTTGAAAGAAAGAGACAGACAGGTAAACAGATAAGGTCTATTAGATTTTCTCTCTGTTTTTCTCTCCGTGGGTTGAAAGAGACAGACAGACAGGTAAACAGATAAGGTCTATCACAGAGTAACAGGCGCAGCCTGGGTCCTTATGTCTTAACTTCTCACATATCATCATAAAACTGTTTATTTAAATATATGTGGGTGTCCGTGGAGTCACTTCAGTGAACTGGAGGTGTAGTTGCTGTTGTGCAGTGCTAGGGGGTGCTGTCAGTCCAGCCAGTGTCATGCAGTGTGTCCACTTGTGTGTGTGTGTGTGCAATACCCATGCAGAAAGAGCTTCACGTGAAAGTGTTTTAGTCTTAGTTGTTTTAGGCTTCACTTCTACACTTTGACCAGATGCAGAATCATTTCTGATTCCTTGCGGTCGTGATTAAAATATTCCTGAAATACTGCACTGGTTGTAGAGAAATGAGGAACAACACAAACATGTACCTGCACTAACCATCTGTGTGTAGAAATGACAGAACCTGGTCCTGGTGAATCAGTGTATCCTGGTTCTACTTTACTCCCTATCATTTACTTCTATTTATTCATTTTTGAAATTAATTCTTAAATGGTGCAGATTCTCTGCCTGTTACCAGAAGGTTCTGGGTCCAATACCACCTGGTCCACAAATCCCAGGTTGGGTTGTGTCAAAAAGAACCTCCTTTGTAAAAAAAAAAAAAAAATCTGCCTAATCACTGGCTCTTCCTCTACTCTAATAATTCCCAAAGGGAAATGATTCTGCATTTAACCCATCTGTGAAGCCCTGCAGTGATTATAGACAGGCAGGGACAGAGGGCTGTACTCTGTGGTGCACCAGGGGTGGAGGGCTGTGTCTGGGCTCTGAGCTACTGTACTACACCACAAGACTGTACTCAGATTATTCTGTAAACGTCTCTGATCAGACCTCCACTGATCCTCTGTCCGTTCATGATCACAAAGGTAAAGATTCACTCTTATTTAAAGTCTCTGACTACCAAGATGTAAACTTGACTTGACTACCAGCCCTGTCTACTAACCTTCATCTGCCCTGTCACCATTTCCTTCAATACTTAAAGGATAAAAAAAAAAAAACAAATCAGCAAAATATTGATGACAGACAAGGACCGCTATGACAAGGCCATCGAATCCATTCAAGGCTACAGTTTGGTGATGGAGTGGTCACCGCTCGGCCTCGTGATGAATGCATAAAATACGAGACACAAATGTACACACACACACACAAAACACACAACACCGTCACAGATTCTTATAGTAAGTGGTTGTGAGTAAAAAAAAAAAAAAAAAAAAAAATCAAAGTTTGGTGGTGTAGACAGACCAGGAGTGTTTAAAGAATGCTTGCTGTGCACTGCCTGTTGGCGGTGTACAAGCACACACATTCAGCTGACTGTTGCACTTTATTGATCCATCCCGTACTAATCCATAAGGCTCTAATCGACCGGATTAAAAGGGTTATGATGTGAAAAGACTGTGTGTGTGTGTGTGTGTGTGTGTGTGTACACCCTGTTGCAGTTTTATGCACTTTAAATCCCAAACACCTATTAATCCACCTCTCAATTTTGTCTGCACTTTTAATTTTAATAAAAGGACTGGTGTTCTTTAAACGAGACAAGACTTTATAATCTACGAGGCAGATTCAGACTTTGAGACGAAGAAATGAACTCATCTGTAGATAAACAAGGAAATGCTGTGGTTTTAACAGTCCCACGACTGTATTATAGTGATGGGCAGTTATTCTGCTATGAATTAGAGAAACTGAAGAGGGCGGTACTGAGACCTGTCTGCACATGTATCTGAACTTGTGTTTTCCCGAGGCTCACATCTAAATGTACTGCAGGTACTTTTCTTTACTACTTCTCAGTACTTGAATAGTACACATTTGAATCCGACCAATCACTGGATAGATATGGATTAATCACGATTAACACTGCGAGTTGTTAAACCTACACTATGCTAAAAACAACAAGATATAGTTGTTCATGATATGGTTAAAGTAAATTGTATATATATGTATATATATATATACACACACATATATATACATATATATTATATGTGGACACATAAGATGAAAACAGGGGACGTTGACTTCATCAGGTTTTTACATTTTCACCCCAATAGTGTCAGCTGTCAGTGGTTTTGTTCTTACTCTCGGAGGCTTTTACGGTACAGCACATCCATCAGTGCCCACCGTTACGTTATTATCATAATGCTAGTTTTTAGCCTTTACTTTCCACGGTCTCATGACCGTTTCACTCTGATCTTTTATTCTGGGCTGTGATGTCATTTTGTTTGACAGGTCTTTCAGTCGCCTGTCATGAAGAGAAGAGACCAAGTCCTTTCCTGTTTCTCTTAACTGTCTTTAACTTTTTTTTTTAACAGACTTTTTTTTTTAACAGACTCCAGATGGCTACGTTTACCTTATCTACTCATTTTAAGACCTGTCACATTTTCCAACATTCATACACTCTGTTTGAATTACAGTTTGGAATATGTTTTTTTTTTTTCATCTTCAGCCTCATGGCTGAGCTGATATTTTCATATTAAATTATACTGAGTTTTATATGAACTTTTGTTTATGATGACCTGATAAGAAGTTTATTTCAGGTGAGTCTTTTAAACAGTGTATAAAAGTCTTTGGTTTAATAAGAGTCGTCTCTTCTCACTCACTACAGAGAATGTTTTATAGTTAGCTCATTCTCAAACATGTCACCATCAGTACAGAGATGTTACATTCTTTTACCACCTCATATATGACTAATTAAAAAAATACTTCAAATGTATTGTCAAAAGATAATTGATATCATGGAACTTGGAACAAAGTTGAGCCGTGCAGACTGTGTCAACTACAGCTGTGTAATGGCAGGAAACGAAACATCAAGTTCAGGTCGTCTGAGGAGAAATGCAGTGAGTCACGGAGTAAGATGTGTTCTTTATAAATAGATGTGGGGAATGTGACACGGTACATGAATATGTGGGAGACTTGAGTGGTGTCAGTCCTGCTGACCAATAGGTGAGGTTTGAATTGGAACGAGGCAAGAAGGGTGTTGGATTGACCATACCTCAGATGGTCTGTTCTGTTCCTAACGTATTACATGATATGAGGAAGTGACATCACAGCAATTCAAACAATTCTACGTATTTCCCAAATGGAACAGCTCCTGCTTGACAAAAAAAAAATATTGTTATCAAATTGGAGACATACATATGACTTAATTAAAAATATGAAATGTATTTTTATTGAAATATCTTTTCCCCCTCTCTTTTTTTTTTTGCTGTCATCTTTTCCCCCTCTCTTTTTTTTTTGGTATTTATTTATAGATAGTCAAGCTTGTGTTTATCACGTTCATGCTCAACCATCCTGTTGATTCCGTTGGAGCAGGAAGCCTCTGGCTTTACCAGCACTGTCCTCTCTATTCAGGGCCGCCCTCCACACAACACCAACATGCAGTCCTATCCATTCAGCTCTCACATGGAGCCCCCTAGAACACTGTGTTGACCAGCCCTGTGCCATGTTAGGCTAAATGCAGACTCAGTGCAATAGTCAATAGAGAGGGATTCCTCTATATAATACTGTGGGAGTCGGCAGACGGCAGTCGATGCACAAGTGAAGCCGAGACACGAATGGAGACCGTTGTTGATCGGTAGAAAAAAACACAAACAGGAAATGCTGGGCTCCTTGAATGTCCTCTATAGCGTCCTCGTCCATAAGGTAGAGCCAGTCTGTGTGTGTGTACTAATCATCGTGAACTCAGAGGAGAGAAAATGTGTATAGATTTGAACTGAGTGCCTTTGTCTCCAACATTTTAACGTATACTTTGTTTCTAAGGCTTGAAGACTTGTTGTTGTTGTTGTGAAGTAACTGGAGCGCTCTCTTGTTGTGTCTTACAGCTGATGGCGGTGTATGAGGAACAGGAAGCCCAGCACAGGGACGGCGCTAACACAAGCTTAGCCCCCAGTCCTGAACTCTACCAGACCGAGCTCTCAGCGTTTCAGCCAATCACAGGAGGAGAGATTGAAGTTAATTCCTCTGTGCTCAAGTCCAGTGAGTAATCTGCCGAGCTCGCTCCAAAGTTGACATTTGTTCAAGGTTAATTTTTCATTTCCATGTTAACGTTGGCCACTCCTGATGTTTTTAATGGCACTTCTCCCCCTGTCCGCGCCTTGGTAGATAATTCAGTGTGCCTTGAGCCAACAAGTAGCCAACAGGTAGCTAACAGGTAGCTAACAAGTAGCTAAGTGTTTGGTCATTGTGACTGTATCTGTGTCAAATTTATTTTAACCTGGACAAATAACATTAGTGACGCTGTTTCAGTCCACTGTATAAAGTGGCTCTTGAGCAAAATAAAGAGCTCATGTGTAAAGAAACAAACAGGAAAATAATAAAAGACAGATTTTATTTATATTATACACTTAAAATGTCATTTAATCAAACTGTATTTAAAATATTAATGAAAAGAAAACACCTTTTAGATGGTGCTTAAATGTCATGTGCCTAACAAGATAGATGGTACAAAATGTGCATCAAACCGAACCTAATCAAAAATTCATAGCGTAAATATTTAGAATCTAATTTGCGGGAAGCCAGAGTAATGTAAATGTAATGCATAGATCTTTGTTAATGGTCGATGTGCATCATTTATCACCTGGATCATTTGTTTTCATGCTGCAAAATTGCATTTGGGTTCACGTTGACTGATTAATGCGTTCCCATGGAAGTAAAGAGGAAAAGAGTGAAACAAAAGGAGAGATTTGGTCGAGATTTCAGGAACAGAGAAGGAAAAAATGGGACAGACAGGACTGGGTAAAATAATAATGAACACAGCATGGAAACTGATTTTCCCATCATGCTCTCTTCATCAGTTATTATTTCTTATTTTTTTCCAGATTTTTTTTTATTTTAGTAAGCAAAACAAGGACACACAGAGTCAGCGTTTCTGATTGTACCACTTATCTTTTGATTTCCAATGAAAACTACTATACTTTAAGTCGATGGTTCCCAACTTGGGGGGCAGGCCCCATAAGGGGTACAAGGGTATTGCAGGGTGAAGTGCCGAATTTTAGTTCATATTTTTGTCTTGACTCTGTGACTGAATTAACTGCCCTGAACCTGAAGCATCATCAAAAAAAAATCACCTGTTTTTAATGTTTAACATTCAGTTTGTTTTCTCTCAGCGATAACTTGTTTGAATTTGTATGTATTTTTCATAAAATTCTCAATTATTTGTTGACAAAACAACATAATTAAATGGTTACGGAGTTGCGCGTGACATTTTACAGTACGAGCCAGTTTGGGATTTAACAGCAATAAGATGTGACATTTTCATCTGCTCGACCTTTCTAAATGGTTCAGGGGCCTCGCGTGCGCGGTCCAGACACTGTAAAGACAGGAAGTTTAGTCTCTCTGAGAACAGACCCCTGTCAGCAGAGATTAGTGCAAATGTGTGACTGTCGTGGATTCGTAGAAGTATCGGAGCTCTGGAGACGATCACTGTCAAAGGGGAAGGTCAGACGTGGGCCTCCTTCACTGTCTCGTGTGTCTGCAGAACAATTACCTACACCTCTCCATCCCCTCCCCCCCCCCCCCCCCCCTCTCTCCACATGTCTTTGTCTCTCTTCAGCTGTGTGATGGGTAAGGTACAGGGGTAAAAAAAAAACATTTTCCCCCCTTCATACATACGTGCACCACAATAGGCACTGGATGACCTAAGAAATGACAGCAGTACTTTAACAAGGTATTCACCTTAAATAAAATCATTCCAGATGAGGGAATCTGCAGTGGAGTGTAATTGAATTTAGACCAGGACGACTTACAATAGAGCATTAACCTTGTGCAAAGAGGAATTGATCCAACCAGGATATGGTAAACTGTTGTGTTTGCAGCGGCTGCCGTTGAAGGTGAAACAGAAACAGAAAACAACACAGTTTAGGTGGAAGGTAGAACATGTGACCGGTTGTTTTTTTGTAATTTGTAATTTTCACTGTGATGAACACAGAACCATCAACGTCGTTTAAAAAAAACTAAAAATTGTTGTAGGATTATAAAACAGGCCAATTTTGTTTACCGTCTCTGTGACGAGAGATGCTAAAGTAACGACCTTCAAATGCCAAGGTCAAGCCCAGATGTCCTTCTCAGGTACCAATGGACAAATGGACAAATGTGTTTCCATCATTGTACGTATTTATACTGTAGTCATATTTTCTACACTTGTTTCCATCGTTGTACGTTTTTATACTGTAGTCATATTTTCTACACTTTCAGTCATTTTCTTTTGTCTGCCTTATGTTTGTTTTCGTTTTCTTCTAGTTCCTTTGAAGGCCAGCCATTATTACCCCTACGACTGCGGGTCTTTAAAAAAAATGAATTGATTGAGCTTGATGTAATCCATACACACCCCCCTGCGCGTCTTAAGAGCACCAAGGGTCCATTTTGTACCGATCAATATACGACCCTACAAATATCATTTGGCATATGTTCTCCGTAGTCCACTCATTCAGGGTTCTCTTCTCCATCTCCACCACCTTTCTGCCTTTTCCCCAGTGGAACCTTAGAGGCTAACATGACAACGCTCTTAATGTCTGTATAGATCGAGAGGCCGCGTGAGTGAGGGGAGGGAGTTGATACGGGGATAGAAAACGCCCCTCACACATCATAATATCCCCCCGTTATAAATGTTATTTATTTGTTTGGCTTTCTGCTGCGTTGACCTTTCTCCATATTTCCCTGTGTCTCGAAGCCCAAACTGCAGCCTGGGCAATAGTGTGGTGCTCTTCATCCATCAGCTTGAGTTAAATGATGATTTTATGCAGTGGGCTGATGAGATGTGAAGAGGAGGGAGACACTATCATATGTTACCTACGTTCACTCAGAGATTTGCAAATCAGCCACTTATTGGCCATTTAGATGCACGAACACCGGTGCACTGGAGGAATATAAAGAAACAAGGCCATTCATTAGCTGCTCACACACTCTGGCTGCTGCGTTAGATCATGTAACAAACACAACGTTTGGTGAAAACACACATCTCCCAGAACAACGGTCAGGACTGAGCTTTACGGTGAAGCTGCTGTAATCGTGTCATCAGCAGATGTGACGCAACACTCACGTTAATGTGTAGTGTGTAAGACTGGGCTGATCAGTGTAAATACATCACATGGTTCAGTATAAATCTGTTTAATTATTTCACTGTGTATCTGTATATATGTATTTATATGTATAAATATGTGTATATATGTATATATATGTGTGTCTGTATATATGTGTATATATATATGCTATGGTTCTGTGCATGCATATATATGTATATAGATATATGTATGCATATGTGTGTGCGTGTGTGTTTATAAATGTGTATATGCTGTATATATATGTTTCTATTTATGTATACATGTGTATGTATGTATGTATATGTATGTATACATATGTATATGTATGTATGTATATGTGTATATATGTATATGTATATATGTGTGTGTGTTTATAAATGTGTATATGCTGTATATATATGTTTCTATATATTTGTACAACAGTTGGGGTCAAAGACGTCGTTTGAGGTCGAGCTTCAACAGTAACTCTGCAGTAAAGCAGTTACTTGGTTGTATGTCACCTGGTTCCTGACAGAGGTATCTCATATAAACAAAGACCTGCAGCAGAGTGGTTGATTTGTAGACTGTGGACCGACTGTTGTAAACTCTGTCAGTAGTTATCCAGTCATTACAGACACGCTGTATAAACACTCTTCCTCTAAACTCACATTCTTTTGCCTAAAACTGTTTTTTTTTCTTTTTTCAACACGGCCTCAAAACAAAGATTGTAAAGATTTGTGTGGTGTGTACCCAGTAGTCAGGAGTCCAGGGTCACGACCTGGTCCTCTGCTTTGAACTGACACGTAGCAGTTTACACTGTTTAGACTGTGTGTGTGAAACGTAAAGGAATATAGAAATATTGCTGATGCTGTTTGTCTTTGTGTGTGTGTGTGTGTGTGTGTGTGTGTGTGTGATGTTTTCACAGACACGCCGCTGTTGGTGAGGAGTAGCAGTGACTCGGCTCTCGGTCCTCAGATCAAAGAGAATGAACCTTCTCATAATGAGGACGCCACTGAGACGGTAAAAAACATGACTTAAGACCAACAATTTTTTTTTTTTTTGCTGTACTTACAAATTGTGTTTATTTATTTTTTTTGCTGTACTTACAAATTGTGTAGAATTGATATTTGCCTCGTATCCAGCCAATGTGCCCACGTCAAAATGTGGACAACAACTTATGAATAAATTGAAAAAAAAAAACTAATGATAGTTGTTAGTACCCCTACACACTCATTTCAAATAAACATATGGTTTCTAACACTTCCAAACACAAGTGACACATTATGGATTGCATGTTGCTAGGCTACAGAGAGTGTTGCATTCATGGTCTGTTCTACTGTTAAAAAAAAAAAAGTCTCTTCACTGACCATTTGTGATTCTGTCCATTACTGTACGCAACGACCACAGACTGGGCCACTCTGAGGTGGTGTCTGGGCCACATGTGGCCCCCGGGCTGCTGGTTGAATAGACAGAGAGACAGTCAGTGGTATTGATAGAGTATGATTGATCCTTATTGATTTGGTATCAGCCTTGGTTTCAGTCATCTTGTGTCTGGTGCCATTGAATCAGTATAAGGTGTTTGATAAAATGTTTTTTTTTTGTAAGATATTATGGAGTTCTTTTCGTAGTAGTCAGTAGTTTTAGTCAGTAGTTTTTCCAGGACGGATTCATTTTGAAAATTGAATCTCGACTTACGCAAGAGTTTTGCCTGTGTCTTTTAGAGTTATTTCAAAGGAAGTCACACTCGGTCACACGAGACCTCTCTTTGAAGACAAATTAGGCTATTATTTATATTTATCTCTTCCATGTCTTTCTCCAAAGGTCAAAGGGCAGACAGGTGTCCAATCCCCCCTCCCCCGTTTTTTTAGCTCCTCGATTTCCCCGATCGCAAAAAAAAAGATTTATTTCTTCTAAAGTTACCACTTTGACAAATCCATGGTTTAAATATTGTTTCAGGTTTCCACGTTGCCTGATATCAGTGTTATTCAAAATAGTTCCAGGACAGATGTTATAATTGTAAAATGTTTTATTTGATCAGGTTTTTAAACCCTGAGGAATGTAAGAGATTTTAGGTCAAAATCCTTATGAAGATTAGCAACAGGTTTTTGTTCAGCTCCGTCTGACATTTTAAAGAAACTGTCGGAGGAAAATAGCTGTGAATCTAATGGCTGAACTTTCCACATATATCCGTGTCAATCTTATTTTCTCTGCAGTGTTCTTTCATCCGTCATTTTTTGTTTTGGCATTAATAGAAACTTTCTGTAAGAGATTGCGATTGAAAATAAATTACATTTTGAGGAAATATAGAAAAGAGTCACGGAAATATATTAGATGTTGTAGAAACTGCAGGCTATTTGTGGCAGTTCTGTCCAGTTATGGGTAACGACTTCCTCTAAGAAGCACTTGGACTTCAATATGAAACTTTAGTGTGTTTTATTTTTAAATTGTCTATTTTATCGACTATTTTCTCCTTAAAAACCCTTGTTGTGTTTTGATGATGAAAATAGACACGCTCTTCAAATTATTTACTCTTTGTCACTGGAGTTTCTGTCCTCCGTACGGCTACATTTGTCATAGAACAAATAAAGAGTGCACTTCACCATTGCTTATATTGAGCCTGGGATACTCAAGAGGTAGCAGACAAATATTTTCTTAGCTCTGAAACTCTCCCAAGTAATTTCCTATTTCCTGTCTATCTCACTGTCACGCCAGAACAGAATTTATTTTTTCAGTTCTTTCCAAATTTGCAAAAAAGAAAAATCTCTTGTTTTCAATAATGTAGGAAGAGCAGAGAGACACATTTCTCCTTCAGTGTGGGTGATAAACACGGTAACACAGTGGACCAGTTGTTTCACTGATGTAGCTTCGATGATTTGCTGTGTTAGTGTTCCAGTTTAATCTTCCCCGTGGACAGATGGACACATTTCTCAAGTGTAATGGAAATTCACGCCTGATTGGACTCTTGAGGAGTAAGAGCTGCTCCTGCGAGAGCACTCACTGGACAACGTCCTGTGTTTCCACATTAGATGAGCCTGTTTGTTAGGTGAGCTTTGTTTTCTCTGAGGTGACCAGTTGTCCTGATTAATGTCACTCGTGGTTACCAGCCTCTGTTTCTGTAAAGTAAGACCCTACTTGATCTGGTCCACCAGTCAGTGCAAAAAAAACAAAGAAAAAAAACCTCTTGGTAAAAACGATTGTTTTGAAGACCTTGAACCTTTGACGCAGAGGTCCCCAAACCCCCGGTGCACGGACCAGTATTGGTCCCTTGAGTGTCTGGCTGGAGAGTTCCCAGTATAAGATTAATCAAGCCGAGGTTAATGGACTGAAATGACATGAAAATCCAACATTCATCCACTCGCCTGCTTTTCTTGACGTCGTGATGTAAAGTGAAACTCGATGTAGATCAGGTTTCACGCGGCTGACCAATCCCAACAGCCAACCTCCGTTTTCACGGTATGTCATGACTTATTTTGGCTGGGTGTTAGTTACACCGTCGCCCCCTCCAGTGTCAGCGTGTCGGTGCACCTGTAGGTGTGTTTCAACTGACGTACGAGATCCTAAAGTCCCGCCTCACACACAGCACATGCGTTCATTAGTTTTTAGGTGAAAAAATATTAAATTGTTTATATATATACAGTACTTATATTAATGCGTACTACTATACTTTTATAGACTGTAACTTTAAGAGACTAACTTGATGTTATTTGGGTTTCACTTCATCTGGGTTTCCTTGTTCCTCTTCTTCTTCTGCTTCTTCTTCTTTTTCTTCTTCGCCTTTTTATTTGTTACTAATTATTCTCCTTGTTATTGTTTTCAGACTGTGCCCCCCTAGTGGTCATTCACATTCTTAAATAAATAAATACAAGAAAATACAAACGAAAATGATCATGACTGTAATCAAACTAATGAAATACAAGAAAATACAAACAAAGCTGTTAACACAAAAATGATCATGACTGTAATCAAACTAATTATTCCAGTTCTTTTTGTGTCTTTTCACACACTCTCTCTCTCTCTCACACACACACACTCTCTCTCTCTCAGTCAGTCTTGGAGGTCTGTCTTTTCTCAACCAGCCAGGTTCAGAGAGAGGTAATGGCACTGGGTAATTGTTCAAATTGTCACTTGGCCTTTGGAGAGAGCGATGAGAGGAAGAAAGTACTCTTCCTGCAGTAATTCCCTGTCTTTCTTCTTATTCCGTCTTTTCTTTCTTTTTTCTTTTTTCTACTCCTTGTCCCCCATCTCTATTTAATTTCAACCCAGAAAGATTTACTGTTGCTGCTCTTCCTTTGTAAATGCCAAGCATAAATGAGAACACTGAGACACGAGATCACTCCAACGACCACTGATATAGTCAGTGGTGCTGGAGCATTGATAAATATATATATATATATTTCTGTGTGTAATATGTTTAATAATATGTGTGTTATAAACAGGTTGAGGAACCATTGCCTGTAAATTTATGACTGTGCCATAACCATTGCCTGTAAATTTATGACTGTGCAGGACACTCAGGCTGATTACTAATCAGTCTAATTAGTAATATCACTAAAAGTTCAATGTTTTCGTTGAAGTTCAGCAATTATTAGATTGAACCCAGCCTGGGTGTGTGTGCGGCTCGTTTGTTATAAGTGTATTCATTCAAGGTAGGATTGTCCATTATTGAGTTAAAATGGAAATTCTATTCGCCTGTTCTGCTTTTTTGGACGGCCACTAATGCGCACAAGTATCGATTCATCTGTCCAAGGTTATCAGACTAATGTAGTCATTTTTCTCCGCAGCTTTCCTTACGATATTTCTAATGGCCACTCATTTTTCTTCTGCGCAACGTCTTTGTATCATTGTTGCATTCAGGTTCCTCTTCCTGTTGTCTGTATCTTTAAGTGCTAGACAGACAGTGATTGGTCGACTTTTCGTGGTTCTATCGATGAACTAAATGATATTTAGATTCATTTTCTTATTGGACCCAGGCCATAACATTTGCGATCGACTCTGAAATCTTTTATTCAGTTCTTAAATCATTTAATCAAAGTCAAGAGTGGTATTTTGTGCTTTGTAAAAATCAGCCCTTTTTTTAAAGTTCTGTAAAAACTAGACCAAACCGGAAACTTTTTAAAGTTTCAGTGACACCAGAGAAACGGCACGTTCATTTTCTGTGAGATCTGTTGAGATTCTTGAACCTACAGCGTAGGTTCCACACCACCTCGGAGTTCCATCTGAGCAATTTGGTGTCTAGACCGAAGTCTCTCCTGCAGTTCACCGTCAACATCTGAGTGTGTAACCCTGTGGCAGCAGTTATTGTTGTCGCTGCGTCTTAGCTGCAGCCGGTCTAATGAAACACATTTGTTTGTTAAAATTCATTTGCTTGTTAATTCACACTTTGATAGACAACGAATATTTCACTCTGCACAAGAGAACTACGTAACGCTCTTCACGATAATGTATGTATGTTATTTGGCATTGCACAAATGAAACTGAATTGAAATTAAATTGAAAGAGAGAGAGACAGAGAGAGAGAGAGAGAGAATGGAAAATTTATTTGTGCCATTATTAAATGAGACATACAATTAAGCCCCACAGACTAACCAATTAATGTTTGAGTGGCCGTTGTTATGACAAAGGGCTTTGGATAATTAAAGTTATTTGTCATCCTGTCAGTGATTAAGTTCTCATGACAGCATGTGCAGCCACATCAGACTCATTTTATTCCCTGCTGCTCCTCCTAACTCCAAACATATGTTTTTATGTGTCCGCAGCTGCGGAACCAACAAAGATCAGCTCCTTCAGCCGCTCCTCGTCAAAATCACTTTCTCTTTCTCGTGTTTTAAGTCTCCATGGCCAATCCGTCTTGGTCGGTTTCTCCTCTCTCTCACATCCTGTCCCGTCCCACTCTGACAGGTGGCGTAGGTCATATGGCAGAAGGGTGAGAGGTTGAAGGTCAAAGGTCACATAAAGAGTACATTAGTGGTCATTGAGTAGCATCGAGCTACTTATTGACCTGTGTCTACATATGTTCACACAAACACGTGCACCCAGGATGACAGCATCTCTGGACCTGACTGAGGCAGCGTCATGTGATTGATTTGATCCACATGACCCCACCCCCCCCAA